ATTGTAGCTCCCCAATTTCCTCACGATGCTGGGTTGGCACTAGTCCCATAAACTGGTCGAAAACTCATGAGAAAATTTCTTCTCCCCCGAGACTCGAACCAGCACGCATTCAGTATCGCCGGTCCGAAGCATGATGCCTCAGACCGCGTGGCTACGGCACGGGACATATAAATATACAGTATGTAATAACTTTGAAAAATTGCCAGAAATACAGAGAGACGCGGAGCGCACAAAAGCTGTAAACAGACTGAATCAGCGACGAGAAAATGGTGCCGGACGCACTTCTCTGACTCAGCTGTTGAGCGCGTGGGGCATATGCACGCAATTGAAAAGCGCCATATTAGCGGATCGCCGAAAAGCGGGGTACTTCTATAGGAAGTTACAGAACCTCAGAATAGGAGGGGCACATGTCATTTGGAAAAGATCAGAATATGGGCACTTTTCTTGCTAGAAAGAGGCTTTGCAGTTTGTGGAATAATGACTGCTGTGATGTGTGTTTAAAAATATGACTGGTTTAGAGTTCCATTATTAAAAGACAATTTTGCAGGTTTCAGGACGTGGCTGTCTGTACAATGTGCGCGGTACAGGCACACTCACAAGTCCTCTGCACAGCAATTCAGACACAGCTGATGACAGTGATGATGAGGAGGAAGAAGAAGGTGTGGCAGAAATCTCTCAGCAACTGGCTCATGACCTTGGTCCCATTGAGCAGGAGAATATGGCTATCTCAGAACATCTTCAGGTAAGGGTTGTTGGTTCTTTCTGTGAAGTTGCAAAGCTACGAGGGATGGTTAAGGATGTTTGGTACAAAATTAGCATCTGAGCCATTAATTTTGAAGTTTTGATAGATTGAGGAATTATCTGCTAGAAGCTTGAGACCCACTCATCCATGTTCAATAACTCTTTAATTTTACCTTGGGGCTGTTGAGTCATTTATTATTTCTTTTCAGAAGTTTGGATTTTTTATTTTTTTCTCTTTGGAGTAAGAGTGTTATGGATAAAAGGTAAAGTTGTCTCTGGTATCCATTAAGCACTGTGCCATGAAGACTTATGGGGGAGTGGCAGTGTAGCTTTATTTATTCTCTGCTTGAGCACTCTTCTGGAAGTTAGTTGTTAGCTGTGAGCTACATCTGCTTTACTCTGGGGAAAGTGCCCCCGGTACCCATTGGATG